TGTAGGGCACATTGCCTCTCAAAATCAGCAAGGTACCCATCAATCGCTCCTTCTGTCTCAATGAAGGGTTTAAATGCTGCAAACTGCACCTTTCTCTTTTCCACCGGGGTTGCTGGGACTTGAGCTGCTGCAGCGCCGCTTTGGCGTAGTAGGTTGGCCTCCACAGCTGCTATGAACCGGTCGATGATCGGGCTGGACATTATTTGAGATTACTCCTGTCACTCATGGTACACCTGAAGCTGATGGTCTCATTAGTCAGGTATAAGACACTGCCTCTCCCAGAGGGCAGTGTCAGTTCATTGACTCTGGTTCCCGTATTGCAGTTTGTGTTCCAGTGTGCTCCTATTGATTCCTGACCTTGGTTTGTTACTCCGAATATCCCGACTTCTGGCATCCTCTGACCTCGGCTTTCTTCTCGTTAATTCTGATTTCTGGCACTCACTGACCTCTGGCTTACCCACGACTATTCTCCTGTTTATGTCCTTTCTGTACTGCGACTTGGAGCATTATCCAGCACCGCCCCTGTGCACAGACTCACAGGCCAGGTGAGTTCTTACCTGACCACCTTGGCCTGTGTTTAATTGTAAGGGTGAGCACATATCTGCATTACAGACTCCCAACTAAGGTAAGCCGTGACAGTATGGAAGTGTGTGTGTGGGTCCACATCTGGCTGTACAAACCTGCATCCCCCACAGGAGACAACTTGGCCAGTTGCACCCAGGTAAGTTGACTTTGAGACCCCCAGTACTAGAGTCTAAGGAGCTGTGTCTTGGGTCTGTGAACATTAAAGAGATTTTATAAAGGACAGAAAGGACACCAAGCTTGATGGCTGCTCCGGAGGGCAAGCAGAATAAAATTGAGTTTTATAGTAATTAAAAAAAAAATAAAAAAATTAAAAGGAACGGGAAGGGGGATCTACTACTAACAGGACTACTGATAAAATGTGTGCATTTTTAATGTTAAACGATTTCTTTAACGGACCGTTTTCTAAGCTTATATAATTAGTGTAACATTTGATGCGCTGGTAACCCCATATTGGTCGGAATAGGTCACTGTGGCTCCCTGCTCGACCCCTATTGGTGAGATAATAAGCATACGTGCACTGTGATATTTCATCAGGAACTGCAGAGGACAATTCCTCATGCCCAGGTAGGGCAGTTTTGGGTTGGATAATCCAACTCAATCTCTCTTGACAGGCTGTGATGTCAGAAACCACAGTGCTGAGAGGCTTCGGTAATCTTCTGACCCATTGGAGCTCCTCGGAACCGTGGATGCAGATCTGATATTCTACTCACCATTGGTTCCTGGAGCATCAATACATTTAGCTTTCAACAGGTTTTAAATTCAACTTCAATACAAATGTTAAATTCTGCAGCTGTCACATTAACCACTGAGCTATCCGCAGGGCTCATTCTCTCCTACATCCCGTGACAAATGGCTCAGTGAACACATGCTGAAACAGTCCTGTAAGCTTTTCTTTGCTATTGGAACCAATCCCTCAACGGCTATTTACAGAATATGGTGATTGAGTCACACAATATTGCACATTCTTAGTGAGTACTCCATTATTAGTGGGAGCTAACATTTTTACATCTTCGCTCAGGAGGAATATATATTGCAAACCACATTACTGCCTCTCGGCTCAAAGCAACTCCTACAATGTAAAGGGACACTCCAGGCACCAATAAAACTTTAATGCATGCAATAGGTTTTGGCCTCATTCACTGCATTGAACCTACGCAATTAGGTATGACTATTTTAACCGAGGAGGAACAACCTCATAGGAGGAGTGAGGGGTTGTGTATGTATTGTGGGAGGAGGGAACACCTTCATTTAGCTTGTCCAGAACGGCCGGAAAACTACAGAACCTAAGGCCCCATTGAGGACTGGCTGTTGGGTGTACTTAATAGGGCCTCCATAAAGACTCATGAAAAAAGGCTTCTTCTACCTGTCATCTTAAAGAGGGAGGGGAAAGCTGTCCACTCTCTTGCCCATATAGACTCTGGGGCTGCTGAAAACATTTTAGATAAGGATTTTGCAGAGAGATTCGCGATTCCTCTCCGAGAAAAAAACAACACCCTCTTGAGGAGCCCTCCATCACTAGGGAATCCATTCCTGTCCTTATGATGGTTGGGGCTCTTCATGTGGAAATTGTTGTATTGCAAGTTATCTCTTCTCCTTCCTTCCCTGTAGTATCCATGGTTATTTAAACACAATCCACTAGGTATGGACATTATGAATAGACCGTCATGCCTTTCGGACTTTGTAATGCTCCTGCTGTCTTTCAAGAACTTATATACGATGTACTGAGGGAATATTTGCATGAATTTGTTATCGTTTACCTTGATGATATACTGATCTATTCCCCAGATGTCATTACCCATCACTTACATGTAAGAAAGGTCTTACGGAAACTATTGAACTATTGCAAATTAGATAAATGTTTGCTTGATCAGGAGAAAGTACATTTTCTGGGTTATGCCATCTCCGAGTCTGGTTTTGAGATGGATCCCAAAAAACTCGATGTGATCCAAAAGTGGCCCTTACCCACAGGGTTGAAAGCCATACAACAGTTCATTGGGTTTTCCAACTATTATAGGAGGTTTATAAAGGGGTGTTCCTCCATAATATCTCCTATTACCAATATAACTAGAACGGGTAACTCCAATCAAGTATGGACGCAGGAAGCACTTTTTGCCTTTGATACCCTGAAGACTGCATTCGCTTCAGCTCCTATCCTTGTCCATCCTGATTAGTCACTTCCTTTGCTACATCTGACACAGGCGTAGGGGCCATTCTCTCCCAACGTTTGTCTCATGATAAACCTCTACAACCCTGTGGTTTCTTTTCTAAAAAGCTTTCCAAAGCAGAAAAGAATTATGTGATAGGGGTTAAGGAACTCTTGGCTATCATACTGGCCCTTACAGAATTGCATCATTTGCTAGAAGGTTCCTCTACTCCTATCACGATATTGACTGATCATAAAAATCTATCCTACATGTGTGAAGTCAAAAGACTGACAGCTAGACAGGCTAGTTGATCATTATTATTCTCTCGTTTTAACTTTGTACTTACCTATAGACCCGGAACCAACAACTCGAAAGCAGACGCACTATCCCATCAATTCGAACCACTTTCTCCCAAGCTGGAAGAGGTAGTTCCTATTATCCCTAAACACAAAATTATAGCAGCTACTCATCTCAACATAAGCTCTGACCTCATTAGTTCCTTACGGGCAGTACAAAACCTAGTGCCTAGTTAATCTCCACAGGACAGACTATTTGTACCCTCTGAATTCCGAAGGTAGGTTCTAGACTTATGTCATGATAACAAAACTGCTGGTCATCCTGGTATCAAGAAAACCAGTGACCTCATTGCTGCTCGATTTTAGTGGCCTTTTTATACACAAGATGTAAAGGATTATATATCTACATGTCACGTATGTACCCATTCTAAATCCTCACATACCTTGCCCTGTGGTCTGTTGCAGTCTTTGAACATTACTAAGAAGCCTTGGTCTAGCATATCCATTGATTTTATAGTGGAATTACCTAAATCTAAGGGCAATACCGTGGTCTTGACCATCACTGATAGATTTACCAAGATGGTACATTTCGTGTCATTACCTAAACTTCCCTCAGCTATTGAATTGGTGGATATTTTCGCTAAAGAAGTGTTCCGTTTGCATGGCATACCAGAAGAGATCGTTTTCGATAGGGGTCCTCAATTTATGTGGAAAACATTTACTAATCAGCTTGGTATTAAACTGTGTCATTCCTCAGCTTAGCATCCTCAATCTAACGGTGCTGCAGAAAGAACTAACCAATCCCTGGAACAATACCTACAGTGTTTTATCTCTGACAACCAGGATAATTGGTCCACTCTGCATCCCTGGGCGAAATTTGCTCATAATTGTTCCCAAAGAGAATCCACGAGCTACACTCCCCTTTTCCTCAATTTTGGCTTCCACCCTTCTGTTCTTCAGGCTGGCTTTCCTTCATTGGAGATGCCAGCTGTAAAGGAATATTTGGGCAGCCTGAGGTCCACTTGGGAGCAGATTCGACGCATCCTGACTCACAAGGCCGCTCTGCAGAAAAGATATGCCAACAGGCACTGCCAACCTGGCCCGTCTTATCAAGTGGGTGACAGAGTTTGGCTCAGTGCTAAAAATATTAATCTTAAAGTGCCTTATAAAAAATTGGCTCCACGTTTAATTTTGTCCCTATCGGATTCTGAGACGTATTACTCCTGTTTCTTACAGATTACAATTGCCATCTGCTCTACATATCCCCAATACTTTTCACATATCTTTATTGAAACCACTTTCTTGTAATCGGTTCACCAGACCCTTTGTTGCCCCTGCTCCTGTTGTGGTGGAAGGACAGGAAGAATACGAAATCCAGTCTATTATAGATTCTCGTGTATCTAGGGGTGTACTCCAGTGTTTAATTCATTGGAAGGGATACAGTCCAGAGGAGAGATCCTTGGTTCGGATTAATGAAATCCATGCTCCTCGCCTTCTGCAGGCTTTCCATTCTCGCTTTCCCAATCGTCCAGGTTGTGCCCGCCCAGGGGGCGGTTCTAAGAGACACCCAACGTGATGTAAGAAAGAAAGCACTTACCTTATTGGTCCACTGACATCAGGATCGGTCGGACCGCCGCTTCCACGCAGTGTATTGATGCATCAGGGGCAGTACAGGCACATGTGCTTGGAGGAGCTCTAAACAAAAGAGCTCAACATACTCGTACCTTTTGGGGGCGTGGTTATGTTAATCACGTCCCCAATGGTATAAAAGCCCAGTCTGCCTCCAAATCAGTGCCCTGTTGTGGTTCCTAGTTTCTGGCTTTCCTAGCACCTAGTTTTTTTCCTAGCTTGTTTCTGGCTTTCCTAGCACCTTTTAGTCCGGCCATTCTAAGGACCGGTATAGGGGCTCTCTCTATCTGTCTTTGTAGTTCTGGTGAGTTCTGGTGATTTTCACGCTGCGTATTGGGTTTTATCCTTACAGTACCGCTCCATGTAATGTCGGGAAACGGCACTGTACCCTTCTGTGTATTGGCGTGATATGGCGCTGTACCGCTCCGTGTAATGTCGGGATACGGCGCTGTACCACTCCGGGTAATGTTATGATACGGCGCTGTACTGCTCCGGATAATGTCGGGATATGGTGCTGTACCGCTCCGTGTAATGTTGCAATACAGCATGCTCCGTGTAATGGGATACAGCATGCTCCTTGTAATGTCGGGATACAGCGTGCTCCGTGTAATGTCGGGATATAGCGTGCTCCGTGTAATGTCGGGATATAGCGCCCTCTGTGTGATACAGAGTGCTCCGTTAAAGTCTGTAACATTGAATTTTTTTTACAAAGAGGTTGATTGCTGGTAAATTAAATAAGGATGCTGAGCAGGTAATTTGCATAAAAATAAACTATTTAGTAACAGGAGGGCAATTCCAATAATTCCACATTTTAATATGATACAAGCGCTGGAAACGCCCATTACTAAACGTGTGTAACCACTGGACAACTTCACATGGGCGGCTCAATCCAAAAATAGCTCTGCATAAAATCAAAATATAAACATACATCACCCACAAAGAAGGGTGCAGGTGATGCGTAGGCACAGGAAGGTGTCATTCTAACATACTGCTCTGTGAGACATTTACATGCGACTTGGGAGGAGAATACTGCCCTGCATACCTGAAACAGAACAAAACATAGTGCAATCAAAGCAGCAGTTTAGATATAAAAATAGATCTAATCATCTGATAAATGGTCCGGTAAATACAGACTTCCAATCGTTTAACATCACATATTGATTAACTGCTAAAATAAATGGAATGTGCTTAAAAGGTTTCCATTTGGACAGATGGGAGTAATCAATACCTTAATGGAAATGTGGCAGGCCAGGCGTCAGAGGGCGCGGGACGGGCCAAGAGTCAGAGTGTGCGGGACGGGACAAGTTAGAGGTTGGGACATGGGAAAAATAGGTTATGGGAAAAGTGGGAGCTAATGAACATGGTGTAGGCAGGAATTACTGCCCGTAGGACAGGCTGGTGTTACTGGGGAACAGGCTGGGGTTGCTCGGGTGGGACAGGCTAAGGTTAATCTCTATAGTACAGGGCTGGGTTTACTAATTGGGGGGGGGGGATGAGCTGGGACGACAGGCTGGGATTAATCGGGGTGGGACGGGCCAGGGTTTCTTGGGGTGGGATAGGAATGAAAACTCATGTCAGTAGTTATTTGTGGTATTTGCTGGTGTAATGAGGTATCTGGAATGAAAATTATTTGCAAAGTGAGCATGGATCTGCTCAGTGCTGGTGATAATCTGGAAAATGGAAATATAAAGTAATTTATAAAAAGTATCAAACACTAGAAGATCATATGTCTCCATCCCTATACAGCTACACATTCGAAGCAGACTGTGCTACTGGCCAGGGAATGAAAACATGAGGGGCCACGTGTCTAAAATGTGTTGACTATGACATGGGGGTTCCTGAGCTATTGTGTGCCATTCCCAGCTGTGTTCCCTTCCTGTGGAGTGCATGTGTGAATATTGCAGCTTTATTTTTATCAACTTTACAGATTGTCAGTTTAAATACATTCACGTCAATCCCTGCACAATCCCATTCTAACACACAGGGCATTCACCAACACAAATATCCCTGATTGTGGAATCGATTTGTAACTTCCTGAGAGAAGTCTGTTTACTCTGACACCCAACGTGCCATATTGTGAAATCCAAGGAGAAAGAAAATGCTGTGTCCAGATCTGAACTACCCCCATGAAATCGAAAGAGACCCCCCTCCCCAAACCGCAGTAGTTTGGGCCACTGTTTAAATAGCACACTGCATGGGAGAGTCACATAACCCCACAGCAGGGCCGCTTTTCGGCTGGAGTGGTGTCCTCAGCGGGTGCTATGAGCTTCAGTAACGGGGGCTCACCACTGGCTGATGTGTAATATACAGAATTGTGCGATTCCAGCTCGGCAGAATCCTCTCTCAGGGATTCAGCTGCAGAGAATGGAGGAGGTGCGTGTCGGAGCTTGGCCGCTGCTCTTTGGCGTTTAAGCTCTGCTAACGTATGGTGGCTTCGCTCATTGCTTAAGTCTGGATACATCTCGGACTGGGTGGCCAGTTGGTAAGACACACTGCGGTCAAGGCGCTTGGAGAAAGTGTGTTTTGGGCCAGAACGCACACTTCCGTTCCTCTGTGACAGTGGTGGGTTAGAGGTGGTTTCTGTTGAACTGTGCACAGATTGCCCTGCACCTTCCTCCGCAGGCCCAGGGTTCGGGAGCTCAGTCTCGGTCTCTGGTTTCTGTGAAAAAATAAAGAAGGAAAATGCTGTGTTTCCCATTCTCCCATTGTGATCATAGCAGATATTGCATTATCTACATTTACCGCGTGTTAATAGAGCTGGGTACCAGCCTGGCACTGCAAGTGTTAATAGAGCTGGGTACGAGCCTGGCACTACAAGTGTTAATAGAGCTGGGTATGAGCCTGGCACTACATGTGTTAATAGAGCCAGGTACGAGCCTGGCACTGCAAGTGTTATTGGAGCCAGGTACGAGCCTGGCACTACAAGTGTTTAAGAGCCAGGTACGAGCCTGGCACTACAAGTGTTTAAGAGCCAGGTACGAGCCTGGCACTACAAGTGTCTAAGAGCCAGGTACAAGCCTGGCATTACAAGTGTTAATAGAGCTGGGTATGAGCCTGGCACTACAAGTGTTAATAGAGTGGGGTAGAAGCCTGACACTGGAAATGTTAATAAAGCTGGGTACAAGCCTGGCACTACAATTGTTAATAGAGCCTGGGTACGAGCCTGGCACTACAAGCGTTATAGAGCCAGGTACAAGCCTGGCACTGCAGTGTTAATAGAGCCGGGTAGGAGCCAGGCACTGCAAGTGTTAATAGAGCCGCGTACGAGCCTGGTACTACAAGTGTTAATAGAGCTGGATACAAGCCTGGCATAACATTCAGAACGCAGACAAACAAACCTGGCACAAAGTGTTCAAACTGCCTTGGACAAGCCTGGCATAGTTACCATTAAAATCGCAGATGGACATGCTGGCACATTCACCGAGCAGGAGTAGAGCACTCATTCCATGAAACACGTGCTGCGATAATCCTACAAACTGAGAACAGAACTCACCAGCTGCTGTTGGATCTCTGCATTGGTCGCCTTATCCTCATCCTCGTCCTGGACCTCTGTCTCACTCTCGCGGGTTCCTCTCTGCTGCCACACCATGGCTTCCTTCTGATGTTCCCTCCGGTACATGTTTGTGCGTTCAGTGACGCTCACCCTGCGTACCACCTTCCTGTATAGGAGAGAGTTAAACACTGTTGTATTTTGGAAGGAAGATGGAGTGATCTCTGTACGTACACACACATGACATATTCTCACCCTCGGCTACCGGCGCTGGATGTTCTCCTCTGCAGCGCTGTCTTGTGCTTATCTTGAGATTTCTTGATGGCATCATGTTTGTGTTTGAGTTCGAGGATTTTCGTACGCACTTCTTCGTCCCCGCAGACATCTAGAGAGAGGGACAACGTGCAGGAAGATGTATTTAGGAATGAGCTGCGAGCCTTACAAGGCAATTTTATGGCCTGGGTATTCTGTGCACGCTGGATGTTATAAAACCTTTGTGTTTATTATAAGATAGCAATTTAGAATTCTGCAAAGCTGCTATTTTGACCTAAAAAGTGCAAATATTTTGCATCCTTGGTCACTGTATATCGTTATATCAAATATATATATATATATATATATTATTTATTTTTTATTTTTTTGTAAATACTCCTAGTATTATATGCATTTTATCTGCTGTATATTATATGAGCTATCAGTCATATCATAGCGATTTCACAATTGGCAAAATTAAACCCTATCATAAAAATCAAAAGCCATTCAACTTGAACCCACACTCATTCTCTGCTAACACAATCACTTGCTCTCTCTATACCTTGTGTTCTTCTATCCCCCCACTCCCTCTAGATTGTGAGCCGAGCTCTCTCTATACCTTGTGTTTCCTTGTCCTCCCATTCCCTCTAGAGTGTAAGCTTGTGAGCCGAGCTCTCTCTATACCTTGTGTTTCCTTGTCCTCCCATTCCCTCTAGAGTGTAAGCTTGTGAGCCGAGCTCTTTCTGTACCTTGTGTGGCGGACTGCCAGTATACCGCCGCCACGGACTCCCTTTACCAGTGTGAAGTAGCACTACCAAGTAGTGCAAGTGAGTATAGCTGGTATAGCTTTCCCCCCATACATTAGTCGAGACTGAATGATGGGAGTAGATCTGTTTATTTCAGGCAAGCACTCTCAATTTATACACAGACCCCCAGTAGAAACACAAACTTCTCCATGTGCCTGAGAGATAATTGAGTCAGGAAATTATAACTCAATTATCTCTCAGTTACAGGGAAACATAACAAATATCATACAACACCCCAAAAGTACCCTTTAAATACACGGGAAGCCCACAAGAGTCACATCCCCGGATAGCCCTAATCTGAGCACCCAAGTTGGGAAAAAAGCATTCAGATCGGTTCGGTGGTATGGAATCACCGCAGGTGTAAAGTTTTGACCGGCCGGCCACAAGGTAGAAGCAAAAAATAGTTCCACGGAAATGGTGGCAACGGCCGGTCTCTGTTCAGGGGTTCCTGTACAAAAACCACACAATATATTCAAATGCTTTCAAGTAGCGAATGCTCCAACCATTTGGTAGTTCCTATCTCCAGAACACCATTTGTATAGCTGGTCCAGGCACTCGACGACCAGGGACAGCTGCCTGCGTTTGCAAGACAAAATGGCCTTCATCCATTCTGTCGACCATGTGCGTTCTGTCATACAAAATGGCGGCCATCCAGGGGTGCATTCTGTGGCAGAACCACTGCATATTAGTGGAGTTCTTTCCCTATTGTTTGTGTTCCCTGTCATTTTCGTATACTGTGCCCCCTCCCTGTTTGGGAGAGCTCCCACAAAAGGAACTCATTCGGTTCCTGAACAGGCACCACCCCCATATCACATTTAGAACGCGAGATAGAACGTTCTCACCTCGTTCATCGGTGCGAAACCACAAGGGAAGCAATTAGGGTTAGGGCTACAGTACAGACGAACGCCAGCCATGGGGAGCGTTCGTGGATTGTTTCCTGACTTGTTCGTCTCCCGAACGAGGACATCCCCGGTGCCCCATTAGAACGTTCCCCCCCCAATTAATCAGAACGTTCGCACTTGCAACATAAGTGTGAAACCGCAACGTTCGCACTGGCAACATAGTGTGAAACCACAAGGGAAGTAATTAATGAGTGCTCTCCTGGGTGGCCGCCCTTTGTACCTCCAGATCTGCGTGTCGTCCAGT